CCAAAATGCGTGTTGGCACCTCGAATTCCTGCTCAGGTTGGAGCTATCCCACGGTCAGGGGTTCCAGGGCTTTTTTTTTTGCTTTTTTTCCCCGCTTTTCCTTAGACTCGCCGCCAAGGGTGCAAGGCACTAAGGCCGTGCTTTCTGATGCCCCCTTCATGTACGAGGCCTGTTTCTGGGTTGCTAAAGAGCCTCCTCAGCAGAGGGTCGGTGGCCCCGAATTGCAGATGACTCGCGTTTGCATTTGCTGCCTTTGCTCCCCGCGACGTTATAAAGCGAACCTGACTTTCAGGGGGCGAGTTCTTTGGGCCTAATCTGTGGCCAAAGGTGGTGAACTTTCTGGCCGAGTTCGGTTATGCGATGTCAGTGTTTTGAGACACAAGTGGGCTTGCAAAGAAATGCTTGCTCTCTGAAAAAAAACCCACCCCACAACAAAACAAAACCCACGATCCCGTTCATTGTGTTTGCAAATATATGTTATTAGTTGTCTCAAGTGCATTTAAAAGCTAATTCAGGTGGGAACACCCAGCATGCAGATGCCTGCCTGTGGCCAAGGAAGGTCACGTTGTGTCTGTGCCTTCCCCACCCAGTGGAGCTCGGATCTGGGGCTGTAGCGGTTCCTTTCCCAGAAGGGTGCTGCTCGCGGCTGGGGAGCTCGTTCCGTGTTGTCTGTGCTACCAGCAGTGCCTGGGTGGTGCTGGTATTTGGGGCATAGAGGCTCATTCTCCTCCTTCAGTGCTGCCCTTGGGATGCACCAGCCTGAAGGCAGCGAGGAGTCAGGGTGCAGGTATATCTTAGCCCATAGGGTGTGTAGGGGGAGGCATGGCTGAGACCTCGGAGGCAGTCTTGAGGCACTTTGTCTCCTCTGCTCGTCCTGGAGTGCTGAAGGTCCTTACGCTGTCGTGGACTGTGCTGTGATAAGTCCTTGGTGATGGAAGCTGCTTATTCCTCTGCTGCTTTGTAGTGTAAAGATTTTGGCCCTTGTCATGTGAAAGGAAAGGAGGAGTCAAAGATGTCACGTTACCTCTTCCTGGACAGGATATCTGTAGCAACCAGCAGTGGAAGGTTAAAGGGAAAAGTAAATAAGATGAATTTGAATGATTTTTTTTCTTTTAAATAACATCTGTAAGAAAAAAAGCAACATAATTTGAAGAGTTTCAGAGTTGCATGTCAGATCAAGAAGTTCTAATTTAAAATTGCCCATGCAGCCTTAGTTCTGTCTTAAGACTACTGTTTACTTAAAGAAACACTGAATGACTTTACAATTAAAGATTATTCTAAGAATATTACATAATACCTTTTTTCCTGTGAATGCAGAACCTGTAAGCACTGTATCCTGTCTTGTATATGACTAATCCCATCTGTGACACTTGCGTATGGAAGACTTGATGCAAAATACATTCATGCAAAATCAAGCAGATAGATCATGACTGCTGTTTACTGTAGATCTCTTTATATTTCTCTGTGAAGTATTTAGCTGTAGTTTACTCCCATTTTAAGGTGGAAGACCCGTTATGGGGATGTAGTAAAACTCTGAAAGTGGATGGCATGCTTCCCTGCTTACATAGCTCATCTAAACTGCCGTGATAGCTCAGCATTATGATATATTTAATCATCATGAATATGAACTTGTTCTATCCGTAGCCCCGCTAATAATTAGACTGTCTACAGAGTTCTGCCTGAGGAAACTAGAGGTACCAAATCTTTTTCCATAGTTCTGTTTAACCAGGAACATGTATTCTGGAAGCTGGGGAGAGGCTATGTAACACGACAGAATTTACACTGCTGATAGGTGATGTGTACCACCCCATTCCTGTTCCCCCTCTTCCTTCTTTGTGCTGGATTCCTTTTTGTCTTGTTTTGGTTAGTTTTCATGATAGTGATTTTGATTTTGGTTTTATGGTGATAGCATGTTAGGAGCCTTGGTAGTGGAGGGCTATTTGAAACCATGAAGGCTCCTGGTGGCTCTATTACTGTCTTAAAAATCTTGTCCCCAAGGCAATGCATGCTTCTGTTTTCTTTTTTTTTCTTTACCTTTATTTACTGGTAATAACTGAACAGCCTCCAAACTTGTATTATTTGGAAGTCTATTTTTAAAGGTAAACATTTCTGAAATGCGTGTGCCCCTTCAGCACTTTAGTCCCATTGATTTTCTTTTCTTTCTTTTTTTTTTCTTAAATTATTTTTAATTTTTCCTCATAGAACATAGACCTCTCTGAGGCCAAGCTTTAAAAGGTAATACAGTACCTAAAAATGCAGGCACCAGCTAGGATTTTCCAGAGCTTGAATGTAGCAAGGTATTTATCTCCTGCTAATTTTAGCAGATTTAAAGTCCAGAAGTTGTCCCAGATAAATACTATCTGCTTCTTCAGGTTCCTAAATGCCTTTAAAGGCAGATTGGCAACTTAGGATCAAAGTTGCTATGTAGCATTTAATCTACCTTTCACTAATTTTCCAGAAGTGTTATCTTAAAATGTAGATGTGGCTCATTATTTGCTTAAACAAATGAATAAATCCCATAGCGTAAACATGGTTGCTACCAATGCAGCTGTAGCTGAAGTGATCCTCAAATGCCAGGATAATGCTTTTTCTGGATCCCAGTGTAGCAGTGAACAGGATTTGTTATGATAAGCTAATAAGAAATTAACAAAAGTAGCTGTGCCTTAATTCATAATATCACTGGTCTACGTTGGTCTAGGAATATTCATCCCAGGCTTTAGATGTGATTTATAAACTTTAATTAAATAAGCCTCTCAGACCCCCTTGTTGGAAATCTAGTGTTAATTCTAAGAACCTGAATTAATTGAGCCATAATTGAATAAAGGGTAGTACGGTATAAACTCTCCATTTTGCAGAAGAAGATACAGCTTTAGATGTTGCGTTGCGTGTAGTTAGTAAAGGTAACACGAGAAATAGCTCAAGGGCCTTTTAACAAGACCAGGGAAGAGAAGGCTTGGGAGCTGACTGCGAGAACAAGGTATGCTCCCGTTGGTTCTCACTCTGCTTTTTGTTGATTTACGTGAGAAAAGTTAACTGCGGAATGTCTTTCCTCAGGATGGTCTTTGTGAATATTTGAAGAACGTATCTCTGCGTGTGCATGTGTTTTATATCTCCTGGTCTATTAAAAGTAATCTGCTTTGAAATGATTGGATTCTTTTTAAGTCATCAGTAGCAGTAGTACATTATCATATTTATCACAGAAGGTGTTGAGCTGGAAGGGACCTTTAAAAGTCGTCTAGTCCAGCTGGGTCTTGGAGCGTGAGCTGGTTCTTAAGCTGTCAGAAAAGGATGGGGCCAAGGGCTGTATCTCTCCTGTTCCCATCAACTCAGCTGTAGGTGCTGCACATGTTGTACATCACACCCTCTCGCCGGGTGTGGGGCAGCAGGCGTGCGTGCTGTGGGTCAGGTACTATGAGTGCTTAGGAGTCTTCACCTGCGCAGGAGGGAGCCATGGGGTGCTAACAACTACATTTTGGACTTCAGTATACTTTTTAAATACCTGTCTTTTAATCTCTCCCTGGCTGTCTGCGATGCTGCTGTTCCTGTGAGGTAAAGTGTTATAAACTGACTTCATCCTGCTTGGCATTGTGAAAAGGCTTAAAGTAGAGGTAATGAAGTTATAGAAGTTGTGTCCTGGATCGTAGGTGTTCCTGTTAGCACTGCTTATTTTAGCATTTGTGTCTCTCTGGTCTAGATCTGAAGACGACTCCTCATCCTTCAGAAGTAGCATGCTCACAGTCTCCCTGGCCAATGATTCTTCTACAGCAAGCAGGAGTTCTTCCTCATCCTGAGAAGCCTTCATCTCTTCCTATGTCAGTGGCTACAAGGCCAAGAGCCAGCTCACCACTGTCCCCACCAAAATCTGTAGAACTGGGGCCTTCCTTTCATCACAGGCAAGAAGAAGAGCTTGCAAAGGTGGTGGAGCAGGATCCTATGCTGGAAGAACTATGTAAGCCTCTGTGCTGTAAGCTTTGCAATGTCACTCTGAATTCAGCACAGCAAGCCCAGGCTCATTACCAGGTAAGGCGGGCAGGAGGCACGGCGTCCAGGGCTGCTGCATCTGCAGCTGCTGTAGACAAACCTGTGCCAGCGCGTGTGCTGCCAGGAGCGTTGCTGTGGTAGCACAGAGCTAAGCTTGGCCCAGCACATAAGGACCGTCTTAGCTTCTCAGGCGGGTTTGGAGTTCTCTGTTGAGGTGGCTGCACACCAGCAGCAGCAGCTGAGTTAGATCATCTGAAGCTACACCTCTGCACCATCTAATGGACTGGAAGCTGTGGCTAGAACTGCTCCATAGATGTGTTGTCACCCTGCTTGGTTTTGCTGTTTGTCCAGATGTGCTGCAGTGCTTTCATTTAAGGTGTCATCACTGGAGCATGTTGTGAAAGCTTTGACCACAGGGACAGAGAGGTAATAGCAAGGTGGCACAGGTGAAAAATCAGGCACTGGTAATTTTTTTCTTTGTTTTATGCAATCTGTTTTCCACCTGTACACTCATCCAGTAAAACAGAACTTCTGATTCCACAGATGTGATTTTGTAAGGCCCAGACATATTTTCTGCTAGATCCAGCAGCTCAGTTAGGGAGCAGCAGCCGTGTGTTCGTTGTTGCCTCCTTCCTGAGGTTATGCACATAACTGATCTGCTCGTGGGACCATTTGTGCAAGTTTTCTCACCTGCTTTGGACAGCATCAGCTGAGCTACCTCAGACCAAATTAATTTTGTTCAAGCTGGTCTGGTTGACTTGTCTGAAATAGGTTAGGGACTATTTACATATGATTCTCTGCTGAGAGATGAAATATATTATAGTCTTTTATTACCCCATTTTAATAGTACCCTTTCATATTAGTGCTTTTCTTATTAGTGCTATTCTTTCTTATTAGTGCTTTATTTGTGTGAGATGTTGAGATAATAACTTTTGCCACCAGGAAATCCAAAGAGGTGGTTGTCCGTGTCCTCAGGACACCAGACCCAGCTCTCAGATGTGCTGGTGGCCTGAAAAAGTGGTATCATGCCAGTGAAGGAATAGGCTGAATTAGTGTTACGCTTCAACATCCAATTTCTGCAGTATTTCTGCCGTGAGAGTACGAAAGTGCATGTATAGTACAGAACTTGCATCTATGCATATGCCTTACTATGTATCCATGATGCATATACACATTCTCATGTACCCTCATCAGATTTTCAAAACAAGTGTAGTATATGTTTTCCAAGAGAAAATAAAATGTGAAGCAGGATTTTTTAGGTTCAATGTCATGTTTTAACTCATGCTTGCAAGCTCGTAAGAAGAAGTGTGTGTTTAGGCTCATCAAAAAGCTATGCAAAGCAGTTCACGTTTCACCTTTAAGAACCAAAGTACTCGTTTTCAGTGAAACGACTCTAAGGGAAACGCACTGAGGAACTAAATGTAGACTTTGAGAAAACCAGTTGCAGATGAGGCCAAATCGTGCTAGGCGATGAGCATTTTAGAGAAAGGGAGGATGCCAACATCTCTCAATTCCAAAGCTGTTATTTTGTGAATGACAGCTCCGTTACCTGAGATACCATCTTCAGGGGCCACTCTCCCACTTTGATTTCTGGATCTTTTTCCTTTAAGTGTGAGATGATATTATTAGGACAGCAATTAATCTGGCTTCTCTTTTCAGGGTAAAAACCACAGTAAGAAACTTCGAAATTACCATGCTGCCAATAGCTGTCCGGCACCTGCCAGAATGAGTAATGTGGTTGAGCCTGCCCCACCTCAGGTTGTCTCCCTTCCAGCTCAGGTAAGGCATGGGAAGGTGACTGAGATCATGCTACTAAACCCCAGAAAGGATAACTAGAGCTCACGCCTTGAGGATTACTGCAGGAGCTAGGAAGGAGTTTTCCTTGTGATGGCACAGGATGATGGAAATGGCCTGTTCCTTTGAAGATGCAGATATTGATCTGCCCGTGCAGCAGAATATTGGACTTGAAATGTTCTATTTCTGCATGGTAAATACTTTGATTCCTAGGTAAGTCCAATGTGCTGCTGATTATGGTTATTTAAGGGCAGATATAAAACAGCGTTGCTGGAGCTGGACACGAGGGTGTGGCATCGGCTCTGCTCAGTCATCCCTCCATTGTGTGAGGAAAGCCTACATGGCAAAAGTGCTTAGGTGCTCCTACACCCATTGCCCAGGGCTATTGGCTAATTCCTCTATTGTTACTCCTTTTGAAGTGCTCATTCCTGTGTGTAGGGTGGATGGATTGTTCCCTCAGTGATCCAGATTTGTTTTGTTTTGGGCACATTAGAGGCGAAAGAGATGGTGTTTTGCTTTCTTCTTCTAGAATTTGTCATTTCTGATTGTCGTGGGACTTTACAGCTAACCTGGCTCTTGCCTGTGGCTGCGCAGGGAACCACAGCTAGGCTGCAGGGATAGAAGCTGTGCCTGTGTTTCCCAAAGGCTAAGCCTCTGTCGTCTGTAGAAAAGCAAAGAGTGCTGTAAGTGACAGACTCTTATAGGTGCAGTCAGAGCCTGCAGAGGGGGAGACAATCCCATGTAAAATAACTTTGTAGTTTACAGAGCTGAACTGAGAGGATGCGAGGTCCAGTCCTAGGTAACGGCATGTGGATGGTTTACCTGCTAGATTATCTGATGCTGGTTTTAATGGAGAAGATAATCCACGGCAACCAAAAGACTGTGCTGAGGCCACGTGAGGATTCATGTTGTAACACAGAAGTCAGAACTGTGTGCATGTGGCTATAAGCTTGAACAGGATCGAAGGAGATGTGAAAGCAACTCGACTTGGCAAGTGCTGCAGTGAGATGGCTGTATGAATCACTGCTGCTGCACTGTTTACAAAGCACTTTTCTCGGGGTGATCCATGCTGAGGAGACGTGCTTGCTGCCTCCACCAGTGCGTGGCCTGACTAGACCAGCAAGGTATCCTTCATATGGCAGGAGCTACTCACGTGAGGCTGGGTCCTTCCTTTGAAGTCTTGATCCAGGTGTTCTCCCACCTGAAGGGTAAGGATCGGAAGTGTGAGAGCTCTGCTGTTGGGTTGTTTGTGAGGTTTTTTTTATGTCTTAGTGTCAGAGAGCTGTATAGAGACAGGATACTGTGGAGAGATTAGATGTACTGTGAATAGGAGAGAGAAGCACCTCTCCCTTTCAGTGAGGCTCCTTCAGTGCGAAATTCACTGTTCATCAGCTCCCAGCAGTCAGAAGTAGAGAAGTTAAATCATTGCTGTGAGGTAAACAAACCTCTGAGGTACAGGGGGCTTGTTCAGATTGTGCTTGCCTCTCCATCTGACGCCAGGGATTTGTGTACGTATCGAGTGATTTGCAGATACTCCTGCAGGCTGAGGCAGAGAAAATGAAGTTCTTGTAAGAACAGTTTAGGGAGCACTTGAGAGTGTCCTAACTCATATGCTCTAATTCCAGCTCTCTCACTGCCTGATGGAGATGATGCCAGTCTGAGTCCCTGTGATTCAAATATTCCAATGATTTAACTTTCTTGTGTTTCACATGCTGTCTCTCCCTTTGCTGCTAGATGGGATCCAGTAAACCAGGTGGCCGAGTGATCTTGGCCACAGAGAATGATTACTGCAAGCTTTGTGATGCCTCGTTTAGTTCTCCGGCTGTGGCACAGGCTCACTACCAAGGGAAAAATCATGCCAAACGGCTGCGTCTTGCAGAAGCACAGAATAATTCATTCTCGTAGGTATTGTTCGACTTCACGCTCAGGCTGAAAGCATGTGGCAGTGTCTCTGACAATGTTTTTCTCAGAAAACTCTGAATCACAGCTGTTCATATTTGTGTAATCTTCAGGGATGCGTCAGAACTAGGCAAACGAAGGGCGAGGAAAGAAGGGAATGAATATAAGATGATGCAGAACAGAAGAAATATGTATACAGTTCAAAACAACACAGGTAACTGGGAGCTCTCATCTCTTATGGAGTTTGAATAATAATAATAATAATAATAA